GCCGAGACACGACTAGATCTAGTAAGTGCCAGTGGGATTCTTGAGGAGCAGAAGCATACTGATCCACGAACAGACAGAGTGCGAAGACAAGATGAAGCACCGAGTGAATGAATTGGAACTCATGGTAGACAAGCATGGAGCCCCGTTATGGTCAAGATGCTGACTGGTATAGCTGGAGTCCAAAGAAAAGAAGAATGAGGCTCTCAGATATGATATCTCTGAGACGAAGTCCAAGCTAGAGAATGAGAAACACGAGGCAGCAAGACTTGCAGAGGTGGCGTCTTTGAGCGCAACAGAGCAGGCCTCCCTCCATCGTCAGATTGAAGAAGCTGCCCAACGCATTTCAAGCCTTGAGGATGAATGCCGCAGAATCAGCAAAGAGGGATTAGAGTCGGTCGAGGATATTCAAAGTAAACATGACATGCTGTTCCAGAATTTGCAGAAAAAGGAAGATGAATGCCTTCTCATCCAGTCACAGCTTAAGGCTACGATGTCAGAAAAGGCGGATCTCGAACGCCACAAAGGGAGGGTGGCAGAAGAGATAAAATCTCTACTCAGGAGGGTCCAAGAATCTGATAACTGGATGAAAAAGCTCAAAGCAACGCTTGGCCAAGCGGGACTTGTCACGCCTGATCAGCCAGCCTCGGAAGCATGGAGCAGTCTGGAAACCATTCTGCGCACAGTCATCAGCAGAGATGCCCCCCGCGATTCCTTGAATACATCTCCTGGTGGAAAACAGGATGTCAGTTGCTCGAAGGCTCGAACTTCGACTCCCCAGAAGAGCCTGGTGGGCTTAGGACAGGAAGTGTACAAAGCCACAGAAGTGATCTACAAAGCAGAAAGCTTTCAAGCAAGCATTGTTTCTTCACCTTTCCCAGCAAAAGCTAACCTTACAGAAAAAGGCCCCGCAAAACAGCCTTTACATTCTGCCCAGAACCCGAACATTGTACCCTTTTCAAGCTTCCGCCAACAGTCGCCGACAGATAGTTCTGTCTTCGGGAATGATCAGGATGACCTCGCAGCTATGCTAATGCTTAGTTCAGAGCAAAGATTTTCAAACGAGGCCCATTCAACTAGCAGACCTGATGAGACCCAAGTGGCAAGAACAACAAACTTCGTTGTACAAGAAACACCTACAAGGATGAATACTGCTCATATCACGGCCAAGGGAGCTTCCAACACAGTCAGGGACAAATTGCCCCGGTCGAAACCCCAATCCATGAAGGACGAGAAGGGAGTCGACACGAAGATCAACAGAGAAGGGAAAGAAACTCGATCAAAAGCCGTTACTTTCGGAGCACAAAGCCCAACATCGCTGGGGCAGAAACGCAAGTCATCGGCCGGGAGCAATATCAGTTCAGGGAACTGGCAGAGTCAGCCCCTAGAGGAGGAGGACAGACCAGCCCGTCTAAACCGCCGCACATATGCCAGGGCTCGTCAACCCGTGTCTCGAACTCTGGCAGACGTTGAGGAACAGCCGACACGTTCTCTTAGAAATGACGTTGCCGACAGAGCTGCGTCTGTCACCACATCTTCCTCCTACGGAAATAAACGGGCAAAGGTTTCTGTGGATCCTCCGGAACAGAAGCCACAAAAGAAGCCTGTCAGCGAGTACTTCGAGCGCAAGCCGAGCCCCGCGAAGCTTGCTTCCGGAAGCAGCAGGCCTTCTTCGATGAATGCCAGCCAGGGCAACATTCCAAAGCGAGCAGCTAGAGGTAGGGGAGCAGGGCGAAAGACCAGAGGTGAGCCACGACACAGGAAGTAACAACAAGCACACTAACCGCGATAGGTGATCATTACAATGCTCGCTTCGGCCGAGGAGCCTGAGTGGCACATGAACAGCTACGTCGGGCGGCTCAGGGAGAGAAACGACTTTGTGCCCAACGAGAAATGTTTCTGCTTTCCTTCAAATTGACAGTATCTGTGCACCTTATATCTTACACGGCGTGATATCGAGAACTGAGAGAGCATATTCCTAACTCAAATTTCCGCAACACAGAATGTCTGAAGCTTCCCACCTATTGCTAGATGCATTAACGCAAATAAATTGATAGTATTTGAAGATTGATTCAACCCAAAATGTCTTGCTCTAAACGCCACAATATAACACCGAAAAAGATACACAGCTCGAACGTCCACAGAAGCCTGTCGTTATGGCACAGCTCCCACGACCATCCTCACCACTGCACCGTCTAATGTACATGATCGTCTCATATCGATAAAAAAAATATAATCCAGTGATGGCTAATTCCGAAGCTCAAGCCGGCAGTATCGGTATAGGTATCTGCATCTCGCAAAGTCGTAGTCGTCTCGTGGCGGTTATCCGCGGAAAAGAAGCGAAGCGCAGCACGACTATCGTTCCCAAGCAACATGCATGTATGTATATCGACCGTCCCGCCGTGCAGGTATTCGAAACGAGCCACCGAGTAAAAACAAAGGTGCCGGAACTTCAGATGATCTATTTATTCCGACCACCCTTCGTAGCCTCCAAGAACAGGACCTTCTTCTTCACGACGGGGTCGTACTTGAGCATGCTGAGCGGGCGGTGCGTACGGGGACGGATCATCGTGCGATAGAAGCCGGTCATGGCCATGGAGATGAGGCGCACGGTGATGGTGCGCGACTTGACTGTGTGGTGCGATTGTTGTCAGTTTATCATTCATCAGTGGCTATGGATTTGGATTTGGATTTCGGGGAGACTGCGGGTGCAGTCGAGCATTGTGGGAGGTTGCCGCAGGGTTAGAGTGATGAGAGGTGGGTTGACTCACCTTTCTTGGCCATTTTGAGGAGGTTTTGAGGGAGATTGGGCTTGAGGGGGTGGATTTCCTGGGTTCCTCGTTTCGTGACTTGCGGAGTTGCGCCGGAGAAGTTTGGAGGATTGGGATGGATGGGGGCACGTGATGTGGTTTCCTGATTGGGGGAAAGGGTGGTGTCATGTGACTTGCACGTGGTTGGGTCTACACGGTATACTTTGTAGACTACTGATTCATTTTGTTGTAGAGGTCTTGGTTACATTTAGCTTAAGGATACGATGTTTTTCATAAAGGTCTGGACAGAAGTGATCACAAGCAAGAGGTTAAATGGATTTGTCTTCCAGCAAGGTCTATTTCGCGAAGAAGGCTTTTGATCTTCGCAGCGAAGACGCCACTACCCCATCTCATAATATCTGAGATGATGCGTACGAGGGACAAGCATTCTCTCGCTCGACCTGTATTTCCTGCCGCTAGAAAAACCATGGCATACGGTTCTGACGCTGTATCCCCGGCCCGTCGATGATGAAGCCACACTTCCCAGATTGGGCCCTTGACGGTGATGGAGAAGGCCAAGTTGAAAGGTAACTCATCAGGAGCCGGGAATATACGAAAACTGGAGTGCTCTTCGTGGTACTCTGAAAGGGCTTCCAGGATACGAATTGCTCTGGAGCCACACAGTGCGGCTTTATTCTGGGCTTGGTATAGACTCCCATCAATATGGGATGTGGTCTCGATTATCAAGAATGGAAAGTTGACGTGCATGGGTGTAGCGTGCGGGTCGGTGATCAGGGCGGAGGATTCCTGCAATTCGGACAGCATGCTATAAGAATCACTGCTGCTCCTCCTGTGCTCGAGACCTTGGGTCAATTCGCTTTCCGTTAAACCGACACATATACATGGGCAAGAACGTTCCAACTCGAAGCCTGTGGTGGATGGCCCTCCTGCACGATCAGGTGAAGTTGAGTTGCCAGTTTGGTTGTAAGTCTGTTGGATAGTCTGCTGGTATTGAAGCAGAGGACTGGGAGGAGCAGCGTGGACAGGTTCCAAGTCACTACGCCATTCTTCATGCTAAGAAGTTAGGTCTGAGACCGCACAAAAATGGATGAAAGTAAGTAAATATGAGAATTTGGCTCACCTTCATCCCGCGAAATCCCGTAGTTGAAAGGGATTCAATTTCAATACTGTGTTTACAATTACCTGATCCCATTCGACTTGTAGGAGCGGAGGTCTCAAGTTGACACTATTGGATCTTATGAAAAGTCTTGCTGCGATTAAACGAGTATATGCATCATCCTGATTTTCCAGAGTGGTAAACACATAGCGTGCTATATAATTATCGATGATGGGATCTCGTGGTTGTTCCATCAGGATGTTGGCAAGCCGCAAATCATTGGCGCGAAACTGTCCGTCTTTGGGCGTAGGCGCAGCGACGACTTTTATTGGAACTAAGATCTGTTCGGTGCTTGCAGGAGGGTGTGCGGGACATGTCTCTTCTGGTATGTCGAGGCGGTTGGTGGGTTGAGGTACCTGCTGGGCACCCTCTCTGTATTGGGCGAGATTGTCAGCTGTGAGTGGAGAGCTCGACTCATCCTCATAACCGAAGTATCTACGCCGTCGCTCTTCCATTTGGTTTGTTGATGGGAATACCGTTTGGGTGTCTGATGTAATGCTTCTGGTGGGCAGCAAAAGATGAAAGCATGTATATAAGAAGGAATTTGTGGAATATCCCCTTCCTAAATATGATTCTCGGCTAAGAAACCCTCAAGGGTTCTTTCTATCACATGGGAGCCATAGCATTGGCTTAGGATAGGTAGCACAAGTGAATGATCCCTGTTTGCCGCACACGGTAGCCCCCTCATTGTATGATACATTGGTATTATATAGTTGGTTTTTATGTATCAATGTGAAGTCTCAGTTTGTCCAGGAAGAGATCGTGTCGCTGGCATCGCCAGTTGTGAATGTAGAAGATGTCATGGCACTAGCCTCTGCATTTGACGCCGTAGTAGCACTAGAACAGTGCCTGTATTGAATGGCATAGTCAGCAGCGGGGATGCTAGCTTCAGCCAGCAAACGCGCATATACTCGGACCACCAGTCCATAACATCATGTTTGGCTGGTCCAAAGTCATCTGTTGTGAGTTTTTATATATAGGGCATAGAGCACACCGTGAAGGCCCGTATTCCCGCTTCTAGCCAAGTTGTGCTTGATACATCTGCCTGCAGATACCGTATGCCATAGTAGGGTCAATCAGACGGGAATGGTCGTAGTCAGTCTCATTCCCTGCCGCTTCATTTCGAGATTTCCAGGTGCGTAAATCTCAATGTCCTCCATCCAGCCGTCGCGCGCGCCGTCAAATCCAGAACGGAACTCATCTCGAGCCTTGGCTCCTTCCAGGATATTAATGAGGGGCAGGTCATGTCCAGACTGCACTCTGCGTTAGACATCTTATACTCCTTCTTGGCAGTTCTTAATACCCCTGTGGGCAACATACTCAGAATTCATCAGTGAATTACCACCAACACGTTGCTCTATCACATACCCAAGCGGTCTCCACGCGCTACAGTACTCAAGGTATACAGGCCACATGTTGCAAGCGCGACGACGGAACGAATTGTGAACTTGTCCGTTTCTCTTAAACTCTACAACCGTGATGTGACCGGTATCGAGATCATCTTAGGCAAGAAGAAACCACGGGCCTAGACGCTGCATAAACAAGATCTTACCATTTCGGATCATCGTCATGAAGTTCAAGTTGGCCATTTGGAGTATATCGCGGGTTAGCACATCTGTGATCTGCACCGCAGAGAGATCATGTGTGGCCGGGTTGACGTCAATAGCTCCATCTCGGGTCCCGAGATGGCCAAGACAAGAGTCCATATCGCCGTCCATTCGGCAGGAAAGAATGTATAGCTTGATCCATCTGGATCTGTTTTCCTGTCTGATGGACTCAGGGGTGCGAGACACAAAAAGGGCGGCAAGTCGTAGCACTGGTGGATGTTGTGCACGACGTCTTTGGGGTAGTCTGTTGACACCCTTTCTGGGGCACGCTCATGATATGACTGTGCCAGCTTAGTTTTTTGTTCTCGCTTTTCGATTTTTAACAAAGAGTAAGGGGCATCAGTACATCACGGAACTTATGGGTTGCTTTCGCCCATTTCTCAACGAGCGATCGTCGTTGACCTCGTAATCACCATCTTCGTCGGGAACGTTGGCCATTGCCCGCGAAACTCAATGTTCCTGGAATCGTCAATGATCGCGTGTCTCACTGGGATATCTTAGCTGGGTTCAAGAGCAGAGTCCTCACACACCTCTACAAAAAGCATCCACCCCTTTGCCTCATTATCGTCCTTGGGATCAATATCGCCTGTAGGATCAATTTGGATTTCTAGTGGAATGCCACCCGGCCAGTAGAAGGGACGAGACGGAACGGCAACCATGATGGTGTGTTGATACCGGGCTCAACTGACTTTCATGCTAGATCACCTGGACGTGTTTGGAAAATGGGAAGGAGAAGCCCGAGTTGGGGCAAGCAGAACATAACATTAGGATTATATTTTAATATGTGAAAGCTTCTTTCACCGAACTAGCCCGGCTAGCTCAATCGGTAGAGCGTGAGACTCTTAATCTCAAGGCTGCGGGTTCGAGCCCCGCGTTGGGCTTTCTTTTTTGACTTTCATCAAGTTGGCTGAGTTGGATCCGCAGGCCATCGGCTACCTGTGGGGCCATTGTTTTTGGCGGTAAATCGCAGACCGAATATGAATGGCTTCATTCTACACCAATTACCTTTTTCCGTAGCTATATTGGGCTCAGGGCATCATAATGGATTCTTATAGCTTTATTCGGCCGTTAATATTCCTGTTGAGATCGGTAAGATCCGATATTTCATGCTTCATGTCCGCCTCAGGCAGTCGTTGCGGATTCTACGACATCAAAGAGTTCTATAAGTCATTTCTCGTAGGCTTCTCCCGCTTCGGCGGCATAATCTTCGTCGCAACTTTCGATTCTCACCCCTTATTTTTTCGGTCCTCCTTCGGGGATTCTACTGCAAAGGCTCTAATCCTCCTTGATATCTGCCCAAGGCATTCTATCAAATCAGTGTACCTTTAACTCGTGTTGCGCTACAACAGTCGTCGCATAGTGCAGGGATTCAATCAAACTCAGTACCCGATATCATCTCGGAACATGTCCGCTTCCAAGTCAACAGCCACTTCGCATATGTTAAGTTTGAAGCTACCTCAATACCATTGCTGGCTTCTCTCTCCACCCAATACACAGAATAAAGTATAACATCCGCACATACCAAGCCTACTCCAACCATTGACCCACAAGCAAGTGTCCAGACGGTCTGGCAAGATGCTACGAAGTTACTGCAGATGGTGTGATAATGTCCCTGTTGTCCTGTGGGGAGCTATTCCGGCAGAGTATACATACAGGTGGGTCCCTATTCTTCAACATACTACCTATTCAGGACGTTATCATCTACTATTATGATCATCATCAACCACTCTAGAGTCTAGACTGGCGCGCACAGACATCTCCCCATGAACAGATAGCTAAATCACCCCATATCAGACGTCGATCTCGCCAGTCTAGACAACACTACCTCTCCACCCTAGACAACTGACCAGGTTTCAGAATCAGACCGGCATGATGAGCTAGCTGCTAGCCCAACCCCGGGCCGTGCTATGGCTTCGTACGAGGTAGCTTCGGAGAATTACCCCGTCTCTATCCTTCCCCGACGGACGTGGACATTGGTACCTACCAATTACGACTGAACATTGCTATTGAAGCTATCCACAATGGCTGAAATGGGTAGTAGCACACCCCGGCAATAGCTACCTCAACTGCCGGTGGAACTATATATAGTAGTTGTAGCTACGTACAGCACAGATAGTAGGTACCTCAGTACCTGCCCAACAGCCTTATACTAGCTATGAAGTACCTAACAACACAACAATCTAAGACCAGGAACAGCATCCATTCCGTATCACCATGATCCACACCAGCTATGATACTAACTACCCGGCCTACGACCCGGGTGATCCGGCCACGGAAGCAAAAGTACCACCGCCACCAACACCATATTACTTACTACGTATACGCACCCTTAGTACCCACCCTCTACCATTATGGACAGACACTTGCTGTCAACTGTCGCATACCCACTAAGTATAGCTACGGTACCCACCGTGTAACCTGACTTCGAGTCGAGGCAAGTCGGTGGAGTACCCGCAGTGGGGACTTTTGATCCACAGGGTACATTGACAGAGGAACCACGTAGCGATTTGGATTTCAACGGTGCAAGATAGCTAGTAATGAACTAACTAGATGGGGGATAATGACCAGCCACCTTACATATTACATGGTGTTGTGAAAAAAAGTTATTTGTGCTGTTTTATGACGTTGAGTTGTGTTGTGGTGGGAGTTTCATGTGCGGTGCTATTTAGAAGGGTTATGAAGTGCTAGGCGACAGTGGTAGGTAGTATGCATAGGAAACAAGGATTAGTGCAGAATCTAATAGGATTGTTTGGTGTTTGGCCAATAGGGTATATTGAAGGCCGTGACTCACTCCCACTATGTATGTTCATGTACGGCGTACCGGGGTGTAAGAGGAAATGCACGATGGGAATAAACTTTGCGCGGTTGAATGTTAGAGGCTGCTAAGGGACAGGGATAGAGCCGCAGTCCCGAGGGAGGGTATAGGATTGGCACGGTATAGGATAGGGACGGAGTAGATTATGTGGCTACTACTGGCTAGGCAGACAAATGAGGCTGTCGATGTACTGCTACTACTGGGGGAGTTAAGAGTTGGCTACGTTGCGGAAGAGTGAGACTTGCAGTAGGCCACTTGGCTATTGTCAAATAAATTTCACATTAAAATACAGCATCACTTATTGGACGCGTAAGCACGAATCATTACATCGACAAAGGAAAAAAGTGGGTGTAACTCGTTCGAGTCCCCGATGAAAAGACCAAATGAGGGGAAGGGGATGATCCGGGTGGATCATCGGTCGGGGGACTGCATGCAGGTGAGCTGCAGCCATCGGATGGTGGGCGCCGTTGACCACTTGGAGTAGGAGTGAGTCAGAGCTGCAGTGTGCAGATTGAAGCCTGGTTTGCTCAGCAGTAAAAGAAATTTCCTCCTTTGCGTGCCTTTCTTTTTTTGGTGGGTGATTTTTGTGTTTTCGCCTGTTTTTGTTGCTTTCGTTCGTTTCCTCGTCTTCACCCCAAATAGGATCGAATCAGACAGCAGGTCGGTAACAGAACAGTAAGCAAGGGAGCCAGCTCCTCCAACAAGGATGTAGCCAATCTCTTGGCGGGGTATAAATATCCCCGAGGACCCATAGATAAGCTGGCTACCATCGGACATGGCTCGTGCCAGTGTCGCAGGCTGGTCTAGCCTTTGCTGCGACGGGGCCGGAAAGGTGATAATGGTGACTTTGCACCGCAGAAATATCCACAATTGCGCATGCGTGAAACCTTAATAGATGCATCAGAAGCCCTGCTCATGTCCCTCAGCGGTAGTAGTCGCTCGGCCGGTAGATGCGCGAGGACCGATTGACACGCGCAATGCGGTCAGCTGCGTCGGCCTCATACAGAGACCCACGGCTGGGAGAGCTCTGCGGAGAGGTGTAGACGATGACCCGGTGACGCTTCAGGGATCGTGGTTCCCGCTCAATGATCGCAGTGCAGGCCACATCCTCCTGGGTGGCAGTCCGGCGGACAGGGGCTGGCTCGTGGCTGATTATCGGCCGCTCGCGAGCGGTGACTTCCTCCCTGGTGTTCACACGCAGACCATTTTCGATTGCCAGCAGTAGCTGGCGAACAGCGACGCACTTGAGGGGCACCCTGACCAGGGTGGATCGGTTGCGCTCAAGGTCAACCACGGAGTAGATCTTCCCGTTCTTGCTGCGAAGGTATTCGGCCACGTCCCGGGCATACTGGGTACCACGCTTGCAGAGGGAGCGCTTCTCTTCGTACACGGTCATCGGGTCTGCACATCGAGTGCAGTGGTCGGCGTGGGCTTCGTAGGCAGAGATAACGTAGCTCTCGTCAGCCTCGGGGTCGCGCACGAGCACGACGGGCTCGGAGGGCTGCTCGATGGGAGCAGGCATGGTTGCCGAACGACGGAGGGGTGTTCGAGTGCGATAACGAGGTCTTTCAACTCGAAGTGTCTCCTGAATGGAGTAGTAGAAGGGGGGCCAGAAACGGAGTGGCTTGGAGGGCGACAGCGTGACTGACGGATGGGTCACGAGGACTATAACAAGGTGGTTTGGACTTGTTTATGTGCGATGAAGTTGTGGGTAGTAGAGATGTAGATCTCTGTTGGTGATGTGTGTATATGGATGTTTTGAGAGAAGTGTGTAGTGAGTAAGTGAATGGAGAGGATGTCAATGGGGGGTGGGAGAGGGAAGTTATATAGTTGAGGAGGATGGAAGGCATCCATGATTGGCAAACAGTGAATGTTAGAGCAGAGAGACAGTGGTCCCGGGGCGCTAGTAGAGCAGCCATGACGAATGGGTCTCAGGCGGAGGACCTAACAAGGTTTAGCAACCACTCTTAGAATTATTCTGATTTTCTTTTTCCGGATTTTAGCAAGCAGTAAGAAACCGTGGTGGAGGAGTGGCAGCCTGCGGGTGACTGCTAAGGCTCAACGGGAGCCTGCCTCAGGACTACTTGGGAATAGTGCCAAAGTAGTTGTGGCTGGTGCAAGCAGGCAGTGCTGATCCTCTTAACTTGTAGTTTGTTGTTGGTCCGGCGCCTGTTGCAACCCGTTCGCTTCTCAGCTGCATCCATGATTGGCCCCATGATGGTCCCTCCTGTCAGACTAGCCAGTCCCTGTGACTCCATTCGGGGAGAGGATGGTCATGGCGAGTGGGCACACTAGACACAATACAGTTAGCAATGACCGACTCAACCACTCCGGGAGGGGAGTACTTTACCTGATTAAGGGTCGGGGAAGCGTCGAGTCATCGGGTTAGAGTTCGATGATGAAGTGCAGTGAGAGGGTTCTTCAGAAGTGACCAGCCCAACTGTGGCTTGACTCCTCGTGTCTAGAACTAAGCCGCACGCCAGCGGCCACCTTTCCTCTCCTCTCTGGCCTCCCAACACGAACTCCCCCTAGTCCAGGACACCATCATCCGCCCGTCTTTCAGGGACCGTCAGCATCCCCGTCTCACCTCCGCCATTGTTGGTCAGTATCCATCGTTGCTGCAGTCCGTTTCACGCATTAACTCTCCCATGTCGATGACAACGCTCATTAGCCATGCAGCCGCTCTCTCCTCTTACCCGCATTATCTGAGACGTGCGATGGCTCGGTTCCATTCTGTTGGTAACCTACAATATTGGCTTTCTCTTGATCGCTTCTATTCTATTTTTGCCTCGATCGCGACCGTCTAAGAATAGGTGTTTCGCATCTGTTTCCCCAGGGATCCGATACGAGCGGCCCCATGATAGCCATCTTCGTGATAAGGGGATGTCTGAGCCCCGGACTACCCCTTACGCTAGCAGCCATGAAGTCATCGAGACCATATGTCCTGATACCCTGCTGCGCCTCAGCCACAGGATGACTGGCCGAGAGCGTTCCTTTCTGCCACTCCGGCGCTACAGCCACAGTTCAACCCACGAGGTATCTGCGCGCGATCATGCATCCTGCAAGTGCTGATGGTTCTATGCCTTCTATCACTGATCGACCGTCCGATCGGTTCTGTCCTTTTCGTTTCGCTTAACGCGCGCGCGACGAAATGAACACCTCGTGTCCTATGGTGGTGACGCCAGCTTTCCGGAAGCTCTTTCTCGTTTCAGCTCCCCGTTTTTGCTGTGCTATTGTCCACCACTTCCCACCCTGGCTCAGGCTACAGGCGACCGTACCGGTCCATTGGGACTGCCTTGTGAACGTCCACCGATAATGGCGCAACCGACATGACGAGCATGCGCGCATGGTGTCCACCATGCGGCTTTCTTGTCTCTCGGATTACGGTCTCTCAGCCTACTAGGCCCCAGCGCGCCTATTCACTGGGTACGGGTGTCCGTTGGGGAGGCCCGTGAGAGCCAATGCTTACGGCGGATATATATGACGAGTGTTGGTCATGTCCGAGATAGCTTGTCCCATGATGGGCACTCCCACCATAATAAGAATCAGAGTCTGCCCTGCAGTTGCCACTCATTAGGCGCCAGTGTTTCCCATACTTTCGACTGGCGACAGCGAAAGGAGGCTCAAAGACTCTCATCTAGTAGTATTTGTGAGAGGGGATGTGTAGTTATTAACGCCGTCTTATACCGTGACAGATATGTATTCTTCACCGAACTAGCCCGGCTAGCTCAATCGGTAGAGCGTGAGACTCTTAATCTCAAGGCTGCGGGTTCGAGCCCCGCGTTGGGCTTCTCTTTTTGCATTTTGATGATTCGCATGTGGTGGGCGATGTGATAGAAAATTTTTTTTGGTTCGGAAGTTTCGGTGTCTCCACCAGATCCACTGACCCAATCATCGCAGCTTCTCAGCCTTACACTGCTGCACGCAGGAGTCGACTCGGACAAAGACCATTAGGTATCCCTGCCCATACACATTTGCAAAGACATCCTTATATCTTCTTTATCATAGGTGGTGATATTAGAGTGGTTGGAATTGACGCTGCGTGGCGTAGCAGTCCCTTGTCTTCCCCATAAGGCTGCATACTGTAGTCGAGCGGCTGAATGCATACCCACATCGCCCACAGCTAATCGACAAGATTCTCAAGGATACACAGCCCCAACCATGACGACATCAGCCAGTATAACATTGAATTGTCAACGAATATGTCTCTGAATGAATCATGCCATTTCGGGAAGCTTGACATACGTCAAATATTTCTGTGATCAAGCTGTAGTCCGACTCAGTTACCTGCCAGCTTTCCAGAGTCGCCGAATTCCGCAATAGCATGGCACCTACGCGTGTAACAAACTAGGACCAGTGTTTCCGGATATCTAGGAGATTTGCTCGACCATTCTGTGGTTGTACAGGCTTGCCAACTGGCCAGGCTTGTGGTGCGCACAGGAGACCGGCCGGTACGAGTAAATCCAGCCGCGATGGCCATGCTTTGAATGCCGAAGCTTGTTGAACAAGTGTCTGCGACCAATAGCCTGGGTGAGAGGGGCATCTCATAGAACTGCCCGACTCGAACGTCGCAGTTGCGTTCGTGAGCGCTGTTTAGCGAAGAAGAGAAAAGAGCTAATCTTAACGCACCGAGTTACATGCAAGTCTTCTACCTCCAGCGCCATCTTATCCAGATCCCGCACTACATCACCAACCCTCGAAAGAGACGTATCTGTCTATAGGCGGGCAATTACCATGCCATCCAGCACCCAGAAAGGATGCAAATAAGTCATGAGCCGGATGTCAGAGACATCTATTCAATAGAACTAACAATACCGCGTCCTCTCCCGAATAGAAAGTTCAACGAACGGAGATATTATCTGCTCTTACTCAGCAACCGTGATCAAATCTTAGAATCAACAGACAAGCGAGAAAGGCAACGTGGCCGATGTCACCGGTGGATTGTGATACGATAGCGTACATTTCTATCAGCTGTTTTCCCTTCTTCAACACAGGTAGATCCGGCTATCCAGCAAAGCATAAGGCCACTTCTCGGACAAGGCAAAGCGGGACGACCCATTGTGCACGGACCCGGTCCCTTTTCGGGGGTCTTGCCGTGTTCTTCTGTTCGCGTGCCTCCATTCCAATTTGGATCGTAATTGGCATTCATGTCCGTCCACAGTGGGGCTTGCTATGAGCCTAAGTGAGTCGGCGAGATGCAAGCTTACATTGAGAGTGTTGTAGCAGTGGCATATTCACTGCTGCACAAAGATCAGACATTGCTTGATGACAGCAACCAGTAGTAAACACGAACGAATATGAAAATGCATGAATGATAGCAAGAGATGATTCTCCAACATCCTGGAGTTACACGCATCAGGTGATAAATCACACGTTCTGCTTACCTGCCGCTCCTCCGCAATTTGCTGTCAATCGGACCCTGCATATCATATCTTCCCCTGCCTTCCCTCTTCAACCTTCATCACCATCCAACAGTCGTCTGTTTTAACTACCATTAATCATGCCGACCGGAGTTATACACGTGCGTCTGACAGCAGCAAGCCCGTTATCAGATAAGCAAGCACTGCAAATTGGCAAAACAAAACAACACTCTCTGTCCCGCACTGTGGACCCTGATCGGCACAGAAACATCCAAGCCCCGTCCCGTTCGTGTCTCTACCCGAAAGCAGATGATCCCAATCAAACTAAAAGCAAACTAAGGCCCCAGGATCGCTTTACGAAACAGAGGGGCTGAATAAGCGAGATGTGTCTGTCTGACAAGCAGGTCCGCGCGCAATTCGACAAAATAATCATCTGCCTCGTTCCCTTACTTCTTCGACTTCTTCTTCTCATCCCGACCCGGAGAATGTGCCTTGCCTCAGCCACAACGCAGATCCAGTGCCATTCAGTAAACGATCACCATGTCTTCCTCGGACATCCAAGGCTACGCTATCCGTCGGAATAACTCATGTCTCAGCGACGAAGTCGGATGCGGGAGAACCTGGGAGACCTGGCACGCTTGCTGCCCATCCGGATCCAAATGTCCCGGAAAGGAGTACTCGATTCAGAACAATGTCTGCTGTCCGACGTGGACGGACTGTACCTCCGAGATCAAACCTGCTGTCTGCGCCAATAGCACCTGGAACATGTATGACTACGATGGTTATTTCTGCTGTACCCAGGACGAGAGTGGGTTTAGGCTCAAGGGAACGGACTGGGTGGGCTGTTTGAGCCCCGATTCACCGGGAAATGCTAGTTACAGCGCCTTGAGGCTCATAAGCACTGGTGAGTTTGCTTGAACTCTACGTTAAATTTCTTCAATTGGAGAGGAACGAGTTGCTGACATGCGAACCATTCCCGCTTAGCTTCCTCAACCGCTACATCGGCCCCCACGTCCACTTCCGCATCGACCACAACAGCATCAACAGCAGCAACAACAACCGCTGCTGCATCCTCAGGGTCAGGTACCAACACGGGCGCAATAGCCGGTGGCGTCGTCGGCGGCGTCGTCGGAGCCGCAGCAATAGCTGGCCTTCTTTTCTACTTCCTGAGACGCCACAATAAACAACGGCCCGAGTCGCAGACACAGATGCATCTCCAACCACAGGACCCTAGCCCTCAATATTCCGCATACGCGTACAGCCAGCAGCAATATTCAACAGGAGCGAGCGAACTAGATGGCCAGTCTATGCCTGCGGAATTACCGTCGACCAATGAGCCGAAACATGAGTTGGCGGAGTATCGGTGAGAGCTAGGTGGGATGATGATTTGCATATAGCGCCTCTTATACTTTCTGTTAAGTAAAATTTATGTGCCTAGGACAGGTTGCCGCGGGTCGGCTATGAATTGGTGGGAATGGACACAGAAAATAAGCACACATATTCACAAATAAATGGAATATGGGTGAACCAGCGAATGGACCTCTAATAATACTTTGAGCACATATCATAGCGTGTCTAATATAATTGATTCCCCCTATCAAATGCATTTTTTGAAGTTTGTCTTACATGATGTAATTTAAGAGACGATATTCTTATATATATCTATATCTCAATCAAGAGGAACTTACCGAGCACATGCTCATTCGTCTTTGTCACTCGCCATCTACATCTTATTATGATAAGTCCAGACCAATCTTCCAAGCTAATCGAGAAACTATCATCATCATTAAGAGATCTTCATCAACACCCCCTATTAGATTATTTACTACATTCAAAGACAGAGTAGAGTATGCATATCCACACACCTCCCACACCTCTCTCTCCAAACCAATCCCAACCCTTCCCAACCCCATCCTACCCCAACCATGCCTAAGTAACAGGACACCAATCATAATTCCCATTCGAATTATTCCCCCACCAGGAGGGAAAATCATGCGCGACCCCAGCAGCCCCAAACACCGCAAACGAGAGAATAAACACAATCGTCAAACTGGCGCCATCAAACGCCCCCGTAATCAAGTACGAGTAATCCTTGAAAATCTTGGGATGGTAATTCCTCAGATAATACTGGACGAAGAGACCCGAGATGACCCAGCTGAAGAGAACGCATGTCTGCGATTGGTTGTACGGGACGTACCCTGCGTATTGGATGAATTGCGGCATGTTGACTTCGGAGACGTCGAAGCTGCGGATCTTGGGGACAAACTGGTTTTTTTCCCATAGATTAGTTGGGTTGCTGGGGTGGTGGGAAGGGGGGATAAGTATAGAAGGGAAGAGGGGGGGAAGGGGACGTACGTAGTAGAAGAGACGGTGGGCGACGACAGCTGCGGCGCCGATGGCGAGACCGATGGGAACCATGGCGTAGGGAGTGCCGGAGCGGTAGAGGTAGGAGGCGAGGGCCCAGGAGGCGGCGTTGGTGTTATAGGATTGCATGGTGGCACCACTCCAGGAGGAGTTGCCGTTGCCGGTGGAGAGGAGGGCTTTGTTACCAGTGACGATGGAGATCATGATGGCGTAGTTGATGAAGCCGCCCAGGATGGTGCCGTAGATTTGGGTGAGGAACATCACGCGAGGGGGGATCTTGACTGTCATTTGTTAGAGTTGTGTGGGGTATGAAGAAAAAGGTCATGGGCTTACGGTATTCGCCCATCTTCAAGTCGTTGGATAGGTTCACTGCGTTGGAGATGACATTGTGGGACCAGGCTGCAAAGTACATGTTTCCGACGGGTCGCCCGGGGAGCATGAGTCCTGCCAACATCTTGGAGAGGTTGTCGGTGGCAATTCCGTTGCCGTAGCGAGAGTAGAGAATGGTACTCTGCAGAAACCGTCAGTAGCAGGGGGAGTATTGTACATGAGGTACTCACAAAAGGCGAGATGATGATCCCGACGATTAGGGAGACAATGTACGCCCAGGCTGGAAGGGTAATGTTCTCCTTGAGAACCACCACCAGACCGAGAACAAAACTGATGACAAGCACCGCAACGTACCACCACCACGGTGTCTCTTTGTAATGCTTGGCCATGTGCTCGTGGTGACGGTCGTCGTAGCGACCTTGTCTGGCGCTCTGATATGCCCGCTTGATATCGCCGCCCCAGAAGAGAAAGCAGTGCATGATGAGGGCACCAATCTAGAAAAGTTTAGCTGGATAAATCAGAATAGATCTTGGGTGTACACACAGCAGCGTTGGCCATGAACATGGCAAATGCAAAAGTTCCAGTTAGTCTGGGTATGCCGTATTTAGCCAAAGCGGATTTGTCGAGCACCCCGTCAGGGAAGACGCTGGCGACTGGATACGAAGTGCCATTCGCCATGAGAAGCTGTGTGGACATGAATGGTAGGGACCGGGAATTCCATCCGTTTCCGTAGTAGATAGCTACCATGATGATGAAGCAGAAGGCGATCCCGATGTCTTGGTGAAGCTGGAGCTTGAGAGGAAGGGAGGTTTGGAAGGAGGTGATCTGCAGCAAGTCAGTCAGCCTTAACACTTGGTAGATAAAGACACCATCCATACATATTGCCAGTCGAAGCTCAGAGAGAATAAACCCAATCCTTCGTTGTTAGAAGCTCCACCGAAAACATTGGTGAGTACAGAACCCTTTTTACCAGTCGCTTTCTGGGCAGCGAGACACTGTAGCTGTGTTAGTAACCCCTGCACATCAAAGGCGGGATGGCCAACGCACCGGAATAGAAACAGAGTTGAGCCACGGGAATATGTAGGCAGGAATAATCTCATACAAAGACATGCCAGTAAAGGCATACCAGAAGTACCGGAGCGGCTTAGAGTTCTTGACTTGCTGCCAATGCAACCCTTGCAGGGTCTTCACAGTAGGAAGAGTACTCCAGTAGACAGCCTCAACATGCCAGACGGCAATAGGTCGCATTATCCCACAAAGACCATAGCCGAACAGACCGATGGAGATGGTGCTGAAGATGACGGTGATGGCACTGAAGGGCATATTGTAGAAGAGATTCTGCGCCGCAAACACTTTCGATGATGCAGAGGCATTGGAAGCAGATGTGGCGGTGATAGCGCATATAGCGTGTTCCTTCAGAGTCCATGGTCCGGGATTCACAAACTTTATCCACCTTATATGCCATGGGAGCTTTCCCTGACCACCCTTCTCCCTCCATCGTGCCTCAAACTTATCGCCACGGGGGAGGAACTTGGCCCAGGCATTACCAACAAAGTAAGCGATGAGGACGATGAAGGTGCCTTGGATGGTGACGGCAGTGGGTTTGAACTGTGGATAGGTGTCAGCGGGAGGTGTCAACACATCTGCACGATGGCTAAGTGTCCTGTGCTACCATGTAGATTTGGTTCATGACCGCCTGGAAACACGCCAGGCCGGAGGCGAGAATGATACTCCGAAACGTCAGGGAACTATCGAAGTCATCCCTGAGTGGTAGCAGATGGGCAGCAGCGTCTGCACCGGTGATGATAATGGCGTCTTCGCTTTCGCGGTCCTCTTCGCCGCTCAGCTCATCACCGGTGATTCTGTGCTCTTCTTTGCCAGCGAGAACCGTGACGGCAGACTTCTCATCGACCGCATCAGGGTGGGGAATTGAGACGCCGTCACCCTCTCGGGCTGCACCGGTCGTGATCGCAGACATGTTGGACGGGGGTTCACTGTTTCAGAGGCATGAGAAAAAAAATCATTGCCACAAGGTGGCCCCAAGGGGCCCTCTTATACCCCCTTCCCCCCCTGATAAGGATAGATTGCCATTGGAGCCATGCCACGAGCTCATTGATGATACCACAAACCACGGCGATTAGCCATCTTGCTGGAAAGGGACTGGGAGGCGACCCTGCGACAGGGCTAAGAGGGATCTAATGAAAGGGTCGTTGGATGCACAACGCTCCGGCCTCTGCGTCGGTGGATTCGCGTCTTCTCGAACGCCTCCGAACCCTCCAATCGACGCTCGTTTCCCCACCTAGCGAGGGACCGAGTCGAGATACCCGACCTGCTAGCCCACCCTCCTTCGGGTCGCCATTGGCGCAGGAATAAACCGAAAGCATGTAATTCTACCGGGAACTAACCTGGCTGTCCGGGTTACATCCGAATAAATTGTAGCGCGTGTTGCGAGATCATTGAAGGGCTGCTGGAGATGCCATCGCGTCTGCTGCTGACGCCATTCCGTAGCGGCAAGTCGGCCCCAAGCAATATGTGGCACTTCTGATTTGGAGGGGTGGACAGGTATCCCAGGACCTGGCACATCAATCATCACCGCAATTGGCTTCACTGCAATAGATTTAGGCGTATATTGAATGGCTCGGTAGAACAGTTGATAAGGCTTAGGGCGTGACAGGCGCATCCAGATAGGCAGAGGGACGATAGGACACCCGTTCACAGGAAGGTCGATGCTGGGCGCGATAAGAGAGAACAAGGTTCAAGGGGATCCGTTCAGGCGTCGGAACTCCTACGGAGCTCCTGCAGCACACCTCAGCTCGCCATCCATGCATTCAACCAAGTGGCACCCCCCCGCGCTAGTGGCGACACCAGTGCAACCCAGGTCTCTGTTCTTTTCTCTCGCTGCGGAGGATTGGTGCAACCCTTTGTCCTGTTCAAGGAAAGGAACGAAGGCATTCGAGCTAGGATTCTTAGTGTACTGGCCAGTTTCGATCCCTGAAATATTTGAACTGGTCAGGTGTGCTGTATCATACCACCTTCAACCCATTTGTCCATCGGGTCAGGGTCTTGCGCCATTCAATAGTCCTTCTCTAGGAGATTATCCATCCAGTGAGAGGTAGTCCATTAAGCATCACACAGGGTTACTTCCGACTGAAACCTGGCCGTTCAGATGGAGGCCCTAATTGATGTGTCCCACGTGGTCACTACTGTCTCCAGTGCTGCTTCTGTCAAAGATTTTCACTCCCCACCTGGGTTGTTCACCCAGTGCCCAGTGGTGTCTGCCAAGGTGCTTCGGTTAATCCGACTCTGAGATAGAGCAAACCAATCATGTTTCCTATGCATAGAATAGGCATAAGATGCCAAGCCAGATATCAGCGGATGATCCTATCGATAGCCAATGCCTGTTAGTTGCAAACAAAATCCTCTCCCAACCGCTATCGCCAACATGCCGGAGTTCCAGCCGACACTTCTTGGCCGCATAAGAACCGACGCCCTAAGCACCCCAGACCGCGGCAACGCATTTACCAAGTTTTGTTATCAGGATCCAATGGCACACCCCAATAGGATCTATCACATGAATTGGTAACCTAAATCTAGACTCTCTTCCAGGCCCGATATAGCTCTCGGAAATTGCAATCCCGTCCCAGTAATGCCTGCGGCGTGTCGCATTCAATCATCTCCCCATCCCTGAGGAACGCTATCCGATCGAACCGATCGACATAAGCGAAGCGATGAACAACAGAAATCACAGTCTGTTGGCGGAAATCCTGCTCGATAACATCTTGCATAAGGGCTTCTGTCTCTCGGTCGACGCTACTAGTCGCCTCATCGAGGACGAGAATGGGCCGCGGGACCACAAGCGCCCGGGCGAGGGCAAGCAATTGATTTTCGCCCACTGACCAGGTTGAGATACTGGACATGTCCATATCTAGCCCTCCGTGGGCACTGATTCGACTCCAGAGTCCTACCTTCCGGAGCGCAGACGCGATGCGTTCATCCGTGGCCATTTCAAAAGGATCCAGATTGAAGCGAACAGTGCCGGATAGCAGAAACAAGTCTTGTGGGATGACGTTAATAGCAGAGTGGATAGCTTGTCTCTCGAGCCCTGATATGTCGCAGCCGCCGATTGATATTCTTCCGGACTGAATTTCGCTCATACGGAGAAGCGACATTACTATGGATGACTTCCCACTCCCTGATGCCCCGCAGATTGCTAGCTTTTCGCCAGGATGGACCGTGAGCGACAGATTCTTCAAGATCGGCGGCCTGGCTTGGCTATGGGTATGAGTTATTAGCTTTGTGTGAAGAGCAGGGGAAGCACCGGGGATTAGGATCAAAGCGGAGTTGAGTGGCTAGAGAAATACAGAACTTACCCGTATGCTGCTGTTATGTTATCGAACTCGATTGTAAACTTAGAAGGTCCCAATGCCCGAGGGACTACACTGCCCATCAGGTCATTGTTTGCCTCACGAGGAGTGTCTTGCACAAATTGTTGAACTCGCGAAACTGCCCCGATGCTCGTCTCAAGACTAGTCCATGATCGGAGAGTGCTTGAAAGAGTGCTGTTGAAGGTCAGGATCAAGCTAAGGGCAACACCGACGGCAGCACCGTTATACTGGTCGGCCAAAGAGGTTGTCGTCGCCACGATAATTACAGCCAACGCCGCAACGATCAAGCCCATCACGAGTGTCAGCCATTGCTGTATGCAGTACAGCATATAAAAAGGCCTTTGTGATTTATTGAGGAGCATGTGCATCTTTTCCTGGAACCAGAGCTCCATTCCGAAAGCACGGAGAGTGGTGACTCCATGCACGGCTTCCGTGAAATGCGTATAAAGGGGAGCCTTGGCTTCCAGATCCAGCAGTCGTACCTGCCGAGAAGTGCGAAGATAATATCTCTGGAGGATCACTAGGCTGACCAGAAGCGCTGGCACAGCAACTGCTAGGTATTTGCTGACGATGCAAAGAATGACCAATTTGACCACGCAGCTTGCGAATCCTATGATGGCTGGTGTTAGCTTCTTGAACTCAGTGATCCCTTAACTCCGCCAGTCTGACGGTTTGATAAGGAGGCAAAGAATGGACAGTGGGAAGAGAATTACCCGTAAAGAACATAGATGCCACCAAAGGAAGCATCATGTCAATCAACTCCATATCTTGACTGAATCTATTTGTCAAGGCCCCGATTTCGGTGTCTTGAAAGAATCTGAGCGGCGCACTGCCCTGGATGGTCAGCAAAGACATGTAAAAATTGAAGAGCATATTTGGGAATACCTGAGCGTCGCAGAGAGAAGATCTGTATGCAGATTCAACGCAGTGTTGTTGATTACATTTATGATAAGGAGCCTGGGACGATCAAAGGCGTAAGTTAGCATTTCAGTAATTGACAATAATGACTTGAATCATGGGAATTACTTACCACAATCCACCTGCGGTACCTACGAGCTGTATCACGAAGAGGACAGCATACACTCCCAAATACATACCCACGTCTTTGTTAGGACTCTGTTCGTTTGCCTCCACCCACCACTGGATCCACAGAGCTAACAAAAACCGGAGATATCAGCTTGAGAGACGTAAAGCAGGATCATAGGTACTAGGGACGCACTTTTAAAGTCCCCACTGACCGCTTCCACAACAATGAAAGCTAGACAGGTTGCAAATGGAATGAACCCAGCACTTTGATAATAGTATTTGTACACCGACCAGGTCCCTTCGCGTAGCAGAGGGCTCGGTGAGTCTGAAACTAAAGCCTTCACTGTGTCATTGTTCAGCTTATTGTCCTCCTCAGTCGCGGAAGCCATATGCCCAGCAATTTCATCAGTGCTCGCTAGGGACCTGTGCACGCTTGCGGGCTTGTGGAGTTGCATCACTTTTTCGAACGACCCGTTCTGCGCGATTCTGCCTCCTTCAAGAATGACAATCTCATCTGCATATTGGAGTAGATGTTCTTTCCAATGTGGATATACATGAGCTTCGCGTTCGAAAAGGCAAACATCCCAAACTTACCTGTATGGGTTGCTAGGAGAACTGTTACCCCATATCTGCGACAATATCCGCCTGGGCCGAATAAACGGGTAGCAACCATGCTGGTATTATCCGAATCAAGACCACTGAAAACGTCGTCCAGGACCATGAGTCGTTTCCTCGAGTAGATAGCACGGCACAGCGCAATTCGCTGCTTTTGACCGCCACTAAGCGAAAGGCCATTGGCACCTGCACGGTACAGATCACCCCCCGGCATATTAGAGAGCTCATCCTTGAGGCCACAAGCCCATGTGGCGACCTCATACCATTTGGAATCGAATAGTGACCCGAGGATAATGTTTTGGCGAACTGTATCATCGATAATCCAAGGGACTTGGGAACAATATGCCAGATGAGAATCTCCAACCCGTACGTCTCCAGATCTTACCACTGTTTCCCCCAGTAGACTAGAGAGTAAAGTGGATTTCCCAGAGCCCACTGGCCCAATCAGCATGGTGACCCCTGGCCCGACACGCAAGGTTATGTCATGAAGCTTGTTTTCGCCGGTATCAGACCATGCAATATCAGCTCGCTCGAAGGAGAATGGGGTAGTCTCAGATTCTGATTTCGGTTGGACTGATTGCAGCTCTACTGCAATACCATCATTTGTGGCTGAAGGTGTGGGTAACTCTGTACGCGTGTTATGCAATTCCGTCTGCTTTTTACAGTATTCCTCGATGCGAAGATAACAAGCCATCGCTTGCCGCACAGCAGGGACGGACTGAATAAAGGTAATGAGTGGATTTGTCACGAGGGATATCAGTGAAAGCGATGTAAAAGCTTGACTGGAAAGCAGTGTCTTATTGTGCGTTGCGACCGCGATTATTGTATAGATGGCGAAGGTGGCAAACGGAGCAAAGTCGGTCGGCACATTAGCTGTTAACGATCAGTACACCAACGCTATCCATTAACCGGTTTTCTTGCCTACATATGACAATTTCCCATATGAGCAACTTCCGAAAGCGCTCAGAGGTCTTCAGCTCGATCTTTCGCAGGTTGGATACCTTTTGGAACATGACCCGGGAAAGACCGAGCATCTTGATGGACTTAATGTCGCGTAGCATATTGGATGTCCCTGTCACTCTGGCTTGAACGCATTCAACCCATTGCTTCTGAGACTGACCTGATCTGTTAGAAATGGGCCCTATGGCCAACACCGAGCCTATACAATGTTAGTCGGGGTCTGTCAACCATGGACTCGCATGAAGGGAATTGTAGCTACCTATTGCAATAATCGCTGGAACTACACAGGCGATGAGAAGCTGCCGCTCTAGTAACCAGATTGCGATACCCACTTCGAGGATCGTGGCCCATGTCTCGTGGATTGTCTTCTGACTCTGTACAATCCTTTCTACATCGGTTCCCATGAGAGTGATCGCTGCGGAATCGTTGATGTCGCTGGCCTTGAGACGAGATGTTTGCTTGAAAACTATAGCAATTAAACCAGAGCGCACTTTGGTGTTGAACCGATTGGTTTGGCGCCAATACACCGCGGTGGAGACCTGAAAGGGTATGTTAGTCTCAGGTGCGTCCATGATCATCAACGTAGACCACTTACAGCCCAACCTAAGTAGACCAGAACATATGCCCCAACAATGGCTTGGCCGCGCCTCTTACTCTCTGACGTCTTATCGTTTTGTACGTAGTCAATTGTGGCGGTAATGAGGAATGGCTGACAGAAGCTGAAGGCCGCGAGACAGATACGCGGCACGAATCCCGACAGAAATGTTCTCCGATAGGCATAGAAAGTCGAACGGAGTAACCGATGTTTGCCAGTCCTTGCTCCCCAAGCCTTCTCTAGCTCTTCCTGTGTCAATTGTGCCTGTTGATCAGCATCCATTTCTGGGATGTCATCAATCCCCAGCACTTTTGAGTATCCGTTTTGAAGAACCGGGAGCACCCAAATGAAGAAGCTTTGACCCCAGAACCCCAATATTCCTTCCCTGGTTGTTTTCTGATGAAGTGGCCGTAAGAAACGGGGTTTATGTATGGACTCTGAGATGAGTACTCCGGTATTGAAAACGAGAATGGTCGTCCATAATGCTCGACAAGCAACACTGGCTGTAGGAATCTGCCACAACGAGCGAAGCTGGGGTAGTGAGAGTAGTATTTCTGCTGAGTAGTAGACTACTAGGAGATCCGATGGCTTTATCGAGCGCTGATCCTCGAGGAATGAGAGTAAAATTGCTGCACCTGTCGCAATAATATTCACAACTCCCGAGGCAAGTCCTACGCGGGTATGAAGATCCGGGTCTTCGACGCGCAAAGCTGTGTATAGGATATGTAGAACCAACAGGACAATCAGCAGAATCTAAATGCTCGCGTTCAGTAAATCCTCTATTCTAGTATCACTATAACCTACTAGCTTCACCAATGCCAATCGGAAAGAATTCAGCTTAACTTGAGAAGAACGAAGGACTTGCAATCGGTGAGGGACCAAGACCAGGAAGAGTGCAGCTGGAAGCAGCCCAAAGAAACCATCTTCGAAAAGTAAAGTAAAATCAAATGGACGACACTCGGCGTTGATACGGGGCCCGAACACATTGTCACTATCTGAGGCGCATGCCATGTTGAGTGACAGGTACAATGATAGGAAAGAGAAAGGGGCGATGGGGATGATGAGATTAAGAAGTACGCGCCACGGGTGACCCAATTAATCTCGGAATCCTTATCTATGCAATTTATTTACCACCATAAGTACAACTTGGACCTCTGGCTCGTTAGTCGCAGATAGCAGCCACTACCAAACTGTCTCCGATCAGGGGAAATATATCGCTTTGATTGGTTCCACTCCTACCGGCCTACAACTATTCCGGCATCGACTAGCCAGAAATGACATAAATCCCTGCCATTAATGAACTTATTATCCATAATATGACTTTACCCACATGTGAGAGAGGCACCAAAAGCCACAAGCATTGCCAAGCTCGAGCCATCGTAGTCCTGAATTGAAGACGCGCCGATTTACGGACTCCGGCGCACAGAACACTAGTCCATTAGGATGATATGTGATCTCATCACTCTATTCCATTTCATACTGTTCTTTTGTCAAGGAGGAAACAATCCATCAGCAATTGGGTACTCTAAACATTCAATTTCTGGCACATTGGTCGCTTCTAATCGGACATCCACAATAGGACCACAAGTCACTCAGCTCGTGGGAACTTCGAGACCCGTTCGTAATAAATACAGTGAGCACAGTAGTATATCAACCAGTGATGTGTTCCATTTCCCAGGGCACGGACCGGTCAATCACTGGGACTCATCCGGAAGCACTCTTCTCCTGGACTGGCAGGATAATACACTGACAGTGAAAGATTACCATAACCTGCGAATGCAAAATATTGCCCCGTTTGTGGGATACCTCTCTGCCTGCTCAACGGGCCTCAATATAGTCGATGACCTGGCCGATGAATCCATAACCTCGCTAGCGCTTGCCAGTTGGCCGGATTTCGACACGTAGGAACCATGTGGGAGGTTTCTGATGCGCGGTGTGTGGATATAGTTAAGGTATTTTATGAAACTGTACGAGATGAGGGCTTGACAGATGAGTTTGTACCGCTGGCACTCCATCGGGCTGTCAGGTCTATCCGAGACAGGGAAACTAGAATTGTGGGTGAGATGCGTTCAAGGTGGGCACTTGGCGAGAGGGACGCAGAGCTTTTGGATGATGAAGGTAACGGACCAGGTTTATGATATCGTCGGAGGGTGTTTCTTTCTTTGGGGTTCGTTTACATATTTTGGAAATTAGTCTAGAACAATAGAGCGTTTCTTGGGAGTTAGTATCTCGATGCATTGACTTTTCGGCACCGATACGTCGATGATATCAAAAATGATCAAGTAGCACTAGCCTACCCCCCTTCACAAGTACGACCCAGGATGGAGGTCATTCTTATCCATCACCTGCATTCCACTCAGAGAGGGCGAGAGGAACGATTAGCTTCTAGGTGGGAAAGCAACCGCCGGTGGATCCGAAAGCAAAATAGGGCTTTCGGGACGAACATATCGTTCCCTTGGCACCCACTCCTTCGCAAGCCATCCGTACTCGCCACAGATATGCTGCTTCAATTCATGTTCCGGGGAATGCAATAGCTCCCTGTAGGCTTGACACTTGAAGCAGAGCCAGAAGCTATCACATACCTGGCAATGCACGTTGAAGCCGACGAGAGGCAGAAAGCAACCGTCACAGAAGTGACCCTTAAATTCGGCACCAGGTAGCAGCTGGTTCAGTTCGAGGTTATCCGGCACGATGAGTTCTTTGACTATCTGATCAGCGTCGTGATATATCGCGACTTCTAGTGGCGTCCACTCCGTTTCCCTTGCTTTCCCTTTAGCGGCGAGATCGTAGCCTTGCTCCACCAGGTACTCAATCATAGGAACCATATCTTTCCTATAATAATCCAAGGGAGAGACACATCTTGCTGCCCAATGCAACGGCGTCCATCCATCCTTATCGACCAACTCCATATACGTGTCCTGGTAATCAGGATGCTGTTTGTGGCTCTCCAGGACCTCTTCCACCAGGTCCACATCCCCACTAATCACGGCATAGTGCAATGCCGTGCGATGCATCAAGTCTCGAGCGACCAAGGCATCCTTACTCGGGCTTAATGCCCGGTAGTGCTCCAGTCCCCGATAACACACGAGGTGAGCAGGAGTCCTCCCAACCGGGTCCTTGCAGTTAGTATCAGCTCCTGCATCCAAGAGAAGCTTGATGACTTCCGGCGCGCTACTCAGACACGCCTTGTGCAAGGCCGACCGCAAGTTCCCGCCACTGTCGTTGACGCGGGCCCCTTTCTGAATTAAATACCGGATAATCTCCAAAGTGTCGTTCAACTTGGAGCCGTCGACTTCACGGTTGCAGGCCGCCTGCAACGGAGTTTCGCCACCCCCCGGGACCGCGAGATTGACGTCCGCTCCAGCCTCGGCCAGGATGCGCACCATGTTCAGGCTGCCATAACGACATGCAATATGCAAAACTGCGCCTTGTCCCACGACATAATTCAGTTTTACCTTCACAACTGACGCGAGATACTGGGCAACGGGCTCATTGTTGATCCGCACGGCGACCCAGATCGCGCACTCCCCTTTCTTGTTGGCGTCTTCTGGATCGACGCCACAGCGGATTAGATGCTTGACTGTGGCCACTTCCGTTCTCTGGTTGATTAAACGCAGGACACCACTCCCCCGACTGCTTTTCCAGTCTATCTTTGCCCGGTACTCCAGGATCATTGGTACGGCGGCTTCACAGTTATGCTTTACGGCCCATTCGAGCGGGGTATAGGTCTCCCCGCACATGCGGCTGACGTCCACGCCGGCTTTCAACAGCAGGGCGACGATCTCGGTGTAGCCGTGGTAGATTGCTATTGATAATGGTTGCTCCCGCCCACTTCCCAGGTTCAGGTTTGGCTTCGGAGTGTTGGCCAAGAGGACCCGGACCACGTTGACATGGTCACCTTTGCACGCGAAGTACAGAGGATTTTTATCTAAAACAAGTTTGTCCACGTCAGCCCCTCGGGCGAGAAGGAGCTGGGTAATTTCCAGGTGCCCAAGCCGAGTGGCAATATGGAGAGGTGCCTCGCCATACAAGTTCTCCAGGTTGACATCAGCTTCGGATTCCAGCAAGCAGCGGACGATTTCGGTGTGGCCCAGTGCTGTAGCAGTAGACAGGGGTATCATGCAGGTGTCCAGGTCCGACTGGTTAACGTCGGCTTTGAACTCGAGTAGGAGCTTCACCATCTCCAAGTTGCTTTTGATAGTTGCATGATGGAGGGGAGAGGTATCCCATGTCTCGCCATCCAATTCAGGGCTTGGGTAAGCCCCAGCCTCAAGCATGAGCCGAGCAATTTCAAGCTGGTTGTATCGCACGGCATATCCGAGGGCCTTCGTGGCATCAAACACTGGGAACATCTCAGGGTCTTCCAGGATTATCTGGACGCACTCCTTGTGCCCTTCGCGGACGGCAGCAAAAAGTGTTTTAGTTCCCCTTTTGCAGAGTCTGCAGAGTTCTCTCTTTAATTCGGACATGTTCATGCTGGCTGCTTGTGGTTATTCTGACCGAGGGATCTGGTGGTGCTTAAATGCAAGAGGGCAAAGGTAATGTCTCCTTTATATATACGGATGTCACTACCAGTTAATTAGAATGTGGTAGTTCCGGCTCTGCATAGGTATGACGAAGATGACTCTGAGACACCGAAACTGCAGTACTGGAACCTTCCACACAGGCCCTTGCTCGACGAAATACTGAGGTCATATACACCACAAAGCCAAGCCTAAGATGACGGACCTTTGGCCATTTCATATCGCATAAAGGTGATTTGGACTGTGCCATCTATCCTATTTGAGCGGACATATTCCTAGGCACCGTTAATATTCAACGAAATTCTGGCCATGGGTACGTGAGGAAGAAAGCTACATGGTGTTCACTCCCCCGTAATAAGATTTGGAGATATGATGCAGAGGAATCCAAAGAACTTGCCTTGCTCGCACCAACACCACGAGAAATGATAGTGTTTCCCACACATAATGGCACCTGTTCAGAGGTAGAATCTGCAATAGCTCAGATTTCGAGAGTATAAATGCTCAATAACGCACCTAAAGATAGGTATATGAAGTTCGGAATCCGGTGAGGGAATCTCCAAAAGCCCAGGTGTACGAACCTGGTGCCTGAGTCCCGAACTTGACTAGAGGCTGGGGTTGGATGTCCTTCCATGAACATTCTATCCAGCTTCATTCGGCAGACCCTGAGTGGGTCCGATTCGAAATGCTAGCGGTCAGCATTTAGCGCCACTGCGTCCCAAAAGGTTCGAGTGGACCCGGATTTATGAAACTTAATCTGCTAAAGTCCGATTTAAACCTCAACCTTTTGGCCACCGGCTGGAAATTGAACAACTACGATTCTGTTAGCTGTCAGCAATTTGCATGCAATCACCTTTCCGCAGTCTGATCTCGATCTACTATCCTCGACCGCTGAGCCATCATTCGGTCCTCCAACATGAAGGCCCGCGTTGCTCCTCCGCAGTCAGCAGATCCACATGTTATCTATGTCGCTGAGAAACTGCCCGGCGATGACTGGCACGGTATATCGGATGCAAAGGAACGTAGGAGGCGCCAGAACCGGTTGAATCAGAGAGTCCGCCGTATGTCATCGTCGAATTACTAATCTGATTGATTCTGATGTTCGACCAGGTTATAAGGCAAGACTTGCGCAGGCTGGTTCCATCGCCTCGAACGGACAAAGCCATCCGGTCATAACGCCTACTCAATCAACCTTGAATATAGAGTCAATAGGCCAGCTCCAGAGTACTCAACCTTATCCAGGACAAATTGTAGAGCCTGAAGTCACGACCCTCACCCGCTTACCTGCAGGCCACAATGGCAGCGAAGATAGCAATGAAACAACAATCAGGAACACGACATCTCCACAGGCCCAAGTCGATGCATTATGTTCCGAGAATCCTCACAGAGATAAAGCGAACATTCTACTTCAACGGATAGCCGAGTTCCACTCGAGCTACCAGTTGAATTGTCCGCAAGCAGACCATCTTCTCTCCCTAACCAGGATGAATGTGCATCGCGCATTTGTCGCTAATATGGCTACTCTCGGTATTACATGGGAGTGGATGAAAGACGACTCAATATCTCCCTTCTCCCTTGGGAGGCCTGGACATGACCTTGCTGTTCTACCCGATAGTCTACGGCCCACAGAGCTTCAGCGCCGCAGTCCTCACCACACTTGGATTGACTTGTTTCCATGTCCTATCATGAGGAATAATTTGATTCGGGTAGGTGATGACTGGGATGATGAGGAGTTGTGTACGGATATCATGGGATACTGGGATGGTACTTCCACGGGGCCCTTTGGGCTGATTATTTGGGGAGAGCCTTCTGACCCTAGAAGCTGGGAGATTACAGAAGGGTTCTTGAAGAAATGGGGCCGGCTGGTACATGGTTGTGTGGATTTGATGTGGTCGACGAATCACTGGCGAGCGAAGCGAGGGGAAAGACCGTTGTTCTCGATGACGAAGGTATACCGCCAGCTGGGTCAGACATAATTGCAAAGCCAGCTTAGGAGACATAATAAATGAGGGTCAATAATTTTCAGAGGAAAACTCATTCATAAATTTTCCATACCTCATGCATTCTGTGATCACAGACGTTGGATTATTGCTAATTGTTCCAATCACTATGAATTGTGAAACACAACCGGTCTCTATGTGACCTGCAGAACTGGACAAAATCGAAACCACACGCATTACTTTGCTGGAGGTCTACAGACACCGTGCCGTAGCTTCATGCAGCTATCACTCACTTGGCGCTCGTCCTCACCAGATCTCCAAAACGGGAGTCCGACTGCGCAGCCAATTCCACAGGGTTCCCAACCTCCACAATCTCACCGGTATCCATCACAACCACCCGATCAAAATCCATGATCATGTCTAGCCTATGGCTCACCGCAATGACGGTATAGTGCCTAAATTCCGTCCGGATGATATCCTGCATCACTCGCTCTGTCTCATGATCCACACTCGAGCTGACCTCATCCAGCAGCAGTATTCCATGGTCTGAGCCCATTTGAGCCCGAACACGACGTCTCAGCAGTGCACGACCTAGCGACAAGAGTTGTCGCTGGCCGGCACTGAATGTCCCCGCGTTCATGCCAGCATTCAAGCCACCGCGATCCTGAACAAAATTCCACAGACCCACAGTGGTAAGGATGGCTTGACATTCTTCCGGCGTGGAAACGGAGGAGGGGTCTAGGTTTGCTTGCACGGTGGAACCGTCTGGCAGGAATACAGCTTCCTGGGGCACTGCGATGATACGCTGGCGCAGAGTAGGTCGGTTGATTCGATGGAGCGGAAAGCCATCGATGGTCGCGTTCGCAGCCGTTTCTGGGAGAGGATCGAGGAGTTTGAGCAAAAGAGCGATGAGGCTGGACTTGCCGCTGCCGGTCCGTCCACAAATGGCGACTTTAGAGCCGGCGTTGATGGACAGTTGAATGTTGCGGAGGGCGAGGGTGGATCGGACGATGGATCCGTTTTCGGCAACGGGGTTACTCCTGGTGAGCATTAGCTTTGTGTAGGTGGCGTTTGCATAGGAAGATGTATTCTTTACCCGTAGCTTGCAGATACGCCTTTCAGCTCGACTATACCACTCTGGGGCCACTGCTCAGAAGGGATTATGTCTTCGCTATCCGTATCCTCTGGCTTCACGGTTTCTTTGAAGGCCTTGAGTCTCGCGATCGCTCCAATGGACGTCTCTAGTCTCGTGTAGAAAATGACAATACCGGAAATATTGTCACCGAAGCTCATCAGAGAGACCAAAGAAGCACCAGCAAAGGCGGAGTTGGAATGAAGTCGAACGGCCAATATCGTCAACACCACTGCTATAACCATTACTACAAGGTTGAGAACAAGGTTCAACCACTCTTGGATCATAAGGAGCAGATAAGCAGGCCGCTGACTGCTATTAACCAAGCGAGCATTCTTCTCAACCTCATTTGTAAGGAAGCCTATGCAGTCTGGGTTAGTAGGGGTACATCAACATTTTCAGGACCGGTTACAAAAACAGGAATAAGTTCGTAATGAAATTGGCCAGTATCAGATGATTATCCCATTCCTTACTTACCGAAGGCTCGAATAGTCGTAATGCCCTTAAAAGTGTCAAGGAAATGCGTGCTATACGTCCATATCAGAACCATGGTCAAATCTCATGGCTGGCAGCTAATGGAACTATATAAGTGAACTTACTATAGAGGACTTTTAGCCTCGAGGTCTAACAGCCTCAATTGCCTGGATGTCCGAAGGTAGAACTTCTGAACCACATAGAGCAGGACACCAAGGAAAGGATAACTGATGGCCAAATACAAAGACGATGTAAGCATGACAGCCGCTTGTCCGATCGCTTCAAAGACCTACAAGTCCCGTGTCAGAATGAATGGAGACTCTTTCCAGGAGCTTTTGGGGTGTTCTGTCACAAGATATACATACACAAACGATGGTGTTGAGTGTTGCCTCGGACAGCTCTGTGTCTATTAAATTTAGGTCCTGCGAGAACAGATTCGTCACGATCCCGGTATCTGTATTGGTGAAAAACCGAAGTGGCGCCTGGATCAATGTTCGCAAGGCTTCTTGGTGGAGACTGGCTCCAGCTCGTTTCACTGCAATAACTAAGAGCGCAAGCCCCACGATAGACAGGGATATCAAGCAACATATTTGGAAGGTAGCATATATGCTAGCGTAGTATGCGGAAGAATGCGCCGGTCGCTCGGAGCCAATATCATCGGTCCAGTAGGTAAGCCCTGCACCACGAAAAACGAGTCAGAAAACCAATCCCTGTGGCGTTGTAACCACAATATGGATTACACTTACAAACTGTTGCAAAATTTAGGAAGAATCCCCACAGAGCAGCGAAGATCACACTGCATGCGGCTACAGACCACCCCATCCTCTTGAAGTAATGCCTGTATACGGCTTTATCGCCTATTTGCCGCGATTCCTGCATATTGGATCCCAATGATGAAGTGATAGATGTCGATCTATCCAAAACGTCGTTCTTGGAGCTTCCTATTGCCCTTTTTGATGGTGCTTTCTCATGTTTGACATCGCTTTTGCGAGTTTCCGTTAATCCTAAACGCTGAACATATCCTTGCCTAGTTGCCAGCGTCGCATAACTCCCTTGCTCGACGATGGTGCCATCGCCAAGTGCGATTATATGATCAGCAGCAGGGAGATGTCTGATGCTGTGGGTGCACAAGATAACTGTCGAGCGTCGTCGTCGGAGCAGGCCATCCGGTCCAAAGACTTTGCTGAATACTTCCTCCTCCGTGTCTGCGTCCAAACCACTGAAGATATCATCCAGCACTAACAGCTCGGAATGCAGGTACAGAGCTCGTGCGAGAGAAACGCGTTGCTTCTGGCCTCCGGACAGGGCGATCCCGTCAGATCCAATATTAGTTTCGTCACCCTGAGGCAGTGTGGCAATGTCATGCTTTAGAGCTGTCGCTTCGATGACTTCTTCATATCTCGCTTGATCAAAAGCAGAAAAGCCAACAATATTCTCCTTTATGGTCCCATTCGAGAGGAATGCAGTTTGATCACAGAATCCAACATGGGCAGCCATGTTGCTTATAAGCACATTTCCTTCGCTGAACGGGATTTCTCCAAGCAATGCTTTACAGAGCGTGGATTTACCTGATCCAACAGGCCCCACGACGATAGTGAGCGAGGATCTGAGAAACTGAGTACTCACATCTCGCAAGACAAACTTGTTCGCCTCCCAACCAAACCAACCGTTCTTGATTGCCACATGAGGGAGACCACCTAGGCTCTCATCAGATGGGATTTTGGCCTTTTCTCCAATGTTCCCAGCCTCATCTGTTATCTTAGCACAAACCTGGCGAAAATCGTAATGAGTCTCACACTCCAAGAATTTCTGTATGCGGCCCAAACAGGCTAATGCTGAGACAACACCAGGAATAGATTGGAAAACCTGCGATAATGGGCTAGTCAAAAGAGTGAGAAAGGACAAGCTCGTGAACACCCTCGTCACATCCAGAGTCCGTGTCGTGAACGCGAAGGTCAGCGGCGGACTTATCAATTGTGGGATATAGGCAAAGAGGGCCGCCGTAATAGCAAGCTGGCGAAAGCGGGCACCCGCTGCTAGTTCTTCGACGCGCAGCCTCTGCACAAAGTCACCAATGGCTGCAGATAGGCCAGATATTTTCAAGTTCTTCATGCTAGCAATGACTGTAGCAGTGAGGCCCACACGTTTCTGAACCCCTGTCATCCAGGCTCTTTGCGAGTCTCCAGTAAAGTTCGTCAAAATAGCCAAACCGGAGAAGCAAACAACAACAACACCCATAGGTGCGACGAACACGACACCAAGTCTTGTATACAACATCCATCCAGCCAGAGCTGCTTGGATTATACTCGCCCAAATCTCGTGCAATGATCTTAAGCCCATCCTGATCCGCTCCATATCTGTACTCATCAGTGTTAGAACAGCATTGTCATCACCAGCTCCGATACGCGCTGTGGTTGCTTTTTTGTAGATCTCTGTGACAAGCATAGACGTCGCCATAGTACGCATCCGGTGATGGAAATACCTACACCGACGTATGAGTAGTCCATTTCAGTGTCAGCATGCTTTCCGGATTACTATACCAGGTGAATGCCCAGGAAATAGCCAGCCCCGAATAAATCAACATGCTAGCACCGATAAACCCATAACCAGTGTTCGCATCTAGTTGTGGCTGAGACAGATAGTTCGACAGCCTTTCAAGAAAAAGTGGTTGACAAAAGGTAAAAGCAAGATAAGCCAGGCGCGGAATCACCGGCAGGAGGAGAGGGGCTTTCAATGTCCGCACCAGCACCTTCACAAGGCCATACTTATCACCCTTGAGCTTGGAATAATCCATGTTCCTGGAAAATTGCTCATTGAGAGACGTAGCATCAAAGGAGCTATCCAAGGGATAAAGATCCTCAGTTGCCAGGACCTTCCTATAGCCCCTCAAAAACATCCTATTCAGCCAGAAAAAGACGCCAAGCGAGAAGATACCGCTTGTTTCTTCTGGACTGTGCTTCTTTTCGTCCCAATCTACCCATTTAGACTTCTCCTGAGCTTCCAGTAGTAATATGCATACCTTGAGAGCTAGGGCCGCACTGAATACACTGCTATAGCTAAGCTCGGTCTTATTGTCTGATGACAGAAACAGCGTTCTTGCCTGAGCCGCATCTAGAAGGAAAGTAAGGAACAAGTAGCTGTTCAGTAGTGTCGACGGCCTCGGGCTTCTGCTATGATCCAAAACGCTTAGTATTATCATGAACAGGGCCGATACAAGCTTGAGTATTGAAGAAGCGATGAACATCGAGGTAACCTGGAATGATCCAGCCGCAACCAGGATGAGGAGGGATAGTTCAAGGCCCACATAGGCTGTGATAGAACCCTGTGACAGAGTTAATTTAATGAACATATAATTAGTTTTAATGTACGGTATCGGGGAGGACTTACTAATTTAATGAGCTGGAATAAGGGGGCATTTACAACTATAGGCTTTCGAAATTGACACAAAGTCCGCCATACTGACGTGACAATG